CTCAGTGAGCCAACTAGGAAAGATGCCCTCCTAGACTTGCTATTTGTGAATAGAGAAGGACTCGTGGGGCTGGCTTTATATACTTGGGAGAGGGCTATTTCTATTATTATTGATTGCAACGGATGCTGGAGCAGTGCAAGGAGCATCAGCAGTGGTGGTAGCAAGCAGCAGTGGGACACACGAGGAGATACACATGGACAAGAAGAGGCTTAACTGAACAGGGGGCATTCCCCCAGCAACTGACCCCAGACCCACTGACTGGATGAGACAGCAAGGCATGGAGCCTGCAACCGGCAGCGTGGGAGATTTAAGGACGTGAAAAGAATCAGCCCAGCTGATTGCAACAGACACCGGAGTATATATATTTCCCAGAGGGCAAGTGCGTGGCAGCATGGTGACCACCCAGCAAAAAGCAGTGTCCCCTGCTTCTCCTGAGCTTCTAGCACCTGGTAGAACCAATGCAGCCACACAGGCAGAGCTCCTGCCCAAGCATGCAACCACCCAGGTTTCTGGCTGTGGGATGTGTGAAGGAATGTATTCCTAGAGGTGGAAAGTGATTGCAAGCAAGCCTGCGGGAGATGTGACCAGATTGATGAACTGCTCTGCTTGGTGGCTGAGCTGCAGGAAGAGGTGGGCAAACTGAGGAGTATTTGAGAGTCTGAAAGGGAGATTGATCAATGGAGCCGCACTCTGCCATCTGATGCATAGAAGCCAACTCAGCATGGCCACTATGGAGGCAGGTCCTGGATGTGCTTTGTGCCAGGAGGAAGGCAGTGTCACAAGGGATAAGGAGGGGTGGAAGAAGGTTACAGCATAGAGCAGTAAGAGAAACACCTCCTTACACTCTAAGTTACCCTCTATGATAACCTTACAGACAGATATGAGGCCCTGTGTACAGTAGATGAAGTGCATAATGAGAAAGAGGAGGAACCTGCGCAAGCAGTCTTGCCAAGATCAGAGACACCAACCCCTAACCACAAGACCTGCATTAAGACCAGTGCTGAGAAGAAACAATGGCAAGTTATGGTCATTGGTGTTCCCTCCTATGCAGAACGGAAGCACCCGTTTATGGACCGAACCCTCTTTTCAGGGAAGTTTGCTGCCTCCCTGGGGCCCAAATTAGAGATGTCACCACAAGACTGAAAAGCCAAGTTCAACCTTCAGACTGCTATCCATTTCTGCTCTTTTGTGTGGGTACAAATGATGTTGCAACAAAAAGTCTGAGGTCAATCAAAAGAGACAGCAGAGCCCTGGAAAGAATGCTAAAAAATTCGGGAGCATAGGTAGCGTTTTCTTCAATCCTCCCAGTAATGGGGGGAGACTTTGGAAGAAACAGGCGAGCTCAGGATATCAATACCTGGCTCCAGGACTGGTGCCTACACCAAAACTCTGGGGTTTTAAACTATGGAAGAGTCTTTGAGAGACAAGGTCTGTTGGGGCCTGACAGGATCCACCTGTCCCGATGGGGAAAAGAGGTCTTTGGGCATAAGCTGGTGGGGCTGATCGAGAGAGCTTTAAACTAGAATTGATAGGGGAAGGGGATACCAACAGGATTGCAGTAGGTAAGCCAAGGGTTGGCATGGCGTCACCAGAGGGTGATAATCCTAGTGGGAACATTTACACTGCTCCTGGGAGCATGGAGGGCTCAGGAATGTATCTGAAATGCTTGTACACCAACACATGCAGTATGAGAAACAAACAGGATGAACTGGAAGCGTTGATCAGCTCCCAGAGCTACGATATCATTAGTATTAGTGATAGTTGGTGGAATGAGTCCCACGATTGGAGTGCTGGGATGGAGGCCTACAGGCTGTTCAGGAGGGGTAGGCACGGTGGAGGTGTCACACTGTACATAAGGGAGAGATTTGGTTGCACAGCCCTTACAGTTAGTGATGATATGGTTGAGAGCCTCTGGGAAAGGATTAGGGGAATGGAAAACAAGGGAGATGTAGCGTGTGTCTACTACTGATTGCCCAGCCAGGATGTAAGCACTGATGAGTTATTCTACAGGCAATTAGGAGAAATCTCTGGATCGGTAGCCCTTGTCCTTATGGGAGATTTCAACTTCCCAGATATCATCTGGGAATATCGTACTGCTGTGATGAGCAGGTCTTGGAAATTCCTGAAGTTTGTAGGAGATAACTTCTTGTCATAGGTACTCAGTGAGCCAACTAGGAAAGATGCCCTCCTAGACTTGCTATTTGTGAATAGAGAAGGACTCGTGGG